TACACACACAAAAAAATATTGTACTTCAATGTCTTAATGATTGACAAATGATGAAATATTTGTGGGTTTTTTTTAAAGAAATAAAATAAATATTTGACAGGAAAGAAAATGCTATGGACATTCAACAACAAAGTAGGCCACAACCTACTTCTTGGTAAGCTAGAAAGATGTGGGCTCGACAGCATCACCACCAGATGGATTTGTATCTGGCTGACAAACCATACTCAACAAGGAGCCATTAATGGTACTACATCTACATGAAGGGAAGTAAGCAGTGGGGTACCACAAGGTTCTGTCTTAGGTCCATATCTTCATAAATGACTTAGATGAGGGAATTAGAAGGGGAACTCTTCGAAATTGCAGATGACACCAAGTTAGCAGGATCCAAAAATGTCTTGACAGCTTGAACAATGGGTCCTATCCAACAAAATGAAATTTAATGTGGAGAAGAGCAAGGTTTTAAACCTGGGGAGGAAAAACCAAAGGCACAGATTAGGCAAAACCTGGCTCAAAATCAGTAACTGTGAGGGGGACATTTGAATCCTAGTGGACGATCACTTAAACATGAATCAGCCGTGTGCAGCAGCAGCCAAAAAGCTAATACAATCCTTGGTTGTATAAAAAGAGGCATAGGATCAAAATCACGTGAAGTATTAGCTTTATAAAGCCTTAGTAAGACCACACTTGGAATACCGTATCCAGGTTTGGCCACCACAATACCAAAAAAAATAATAATAATAATGTTGAGACTTTGGAAATGTGCAAGAGCTGCTAAGATGATTAAAGGACTGGAGATGAAAACATATGAAGAACGTTTGCAGGATTCGGGTTTGGCTAGTCTGGAGAAAAGAAGGACTAGGGGGGACATGATAGCAGGATTCCTGCATTTGAGGGGCTGCCACAAAGAGGAAGGGGTTGATTTATTTTCTATAGCACCAGAAAGCAGGACAAGAAACAATGGATGGAAACTAATCAAGGAGACAAGCAACCTGGAATTAAGGAGGAACAGCTTCTCCTTAACTAACCAGTGGAACAACTTGCCTTCAGAAGTTGTGGGTGCTTCATCATTGGAGGTTTTAAGAAGAGACTGGACAGCCACTTGTCTGAAATTGTGTAGGATCTCCTGCGTGAGCAGGGGGCTGGACTAGAAGACCTCCAAGATCCCTTACAGCTCTATTCTGATTCTTCTGACTGTCATTTTCCTTGAAAAGATCTCTTGAGCAACAAATGGAAGAATCGTCATTGCCAGCTGTCACCGTTACACAGCAGTAAGACCATCAAAATGTATGGCAGGGGCATATAAAATCCGTTTTAGTTACAATGGACATATCAAACAATCTGACAGGAAGGGACAAAAGTCTTGTCCGGTTTTCTAACTATTACTACCTACCTTGTAGGCCTGAAGAAGCATGTAGATAACACCGGGCGCGCCGTGGCACCAATGGACCAACAAATCTCTGTTGTCTCCGATGCAAGGGGGGTAATTGCCAGAGACAAACTTTAACTGGCAGATATAATCCACGCTTGGCTTGACCATGTTATGCAATTTTGCTTGACTCACGCCAAGACCAGGCTGCAATAAGAAAAATACCCATGATCTTAAATCGGTCATAAGATGCTACTTCATCTGTGTTTTAAAGCACGGCATTAAAAATATAAAAGATGGAATTGCCCCTAAATTGTCTCACTCTGGAGGGGGCTGTAAAATACTCCAAACGTCGGATAAGCGTGACCATGTTCTCAATACCTAATAATAACAAATTAAAGTGAGAGATTTATTTTATTAAAAAGGAGCATCATAATTCAGAAGAGTACTATCAAGTCATATTAAAAGCAGAAGAAAAAGATATTAGCGTTTAGCAATTATCTGAAGAAGCTATCAGGAGAATCAAAGCAAGGTGCTCTGAAGCCTTTTATTTTCCCAGTTTTCATCTAAAAAGATTTCAATTAAACTACTGAGTTTATTACACTTGTCTTATGTTTCATGCGCTGCTATTCAAAATTTTAAAATAACCTAGTTATAATTTTGGCTTATAGTTGCAACAATTTTGTACATAGGATATTAATTTCTGTAGAAAAAGAATATTTGTCGCATTTGGAAACTCAAGAGTTTTATTTTACAACTTGTGCCACATTAATGGTGATGAAATCTCTGGCCGTATCTAAGCCAACATGAATGGCTGTATTCTTCTAAACAGACCTTTTCCTTACTGTGGAGTGCCTCTCACCTGCAACAGGTAGTAATAAATTCCTGCTAGACCATGGGCTGCTCCTACGTAATACTCCTGGTACCATTCGTACATGAGTGGGCTCTTAGCTGTGAAGTTCCTCTTCTGCGCCAAATTCTCACCAGACGCGATAACTGCTTCACAAACCTACAGGGAAAATCAGAAAGAATAATGGCCATGCTTCAAAATTTTGTAGCTGGCATAAATAAAAGGGGAAAAGCATGACAATAATCTTTTTTAGGTATTTTATATAGCAGGATAGACTTAAAACTTTTAAATATTCCAGTATCCCTCCATCAAGTTTGCTGAGAAACTGCCTCACAGGAGTCTCACAGATAAAATGATTACATAATCTACATCTCTAATCTGTTCATAGCCAAGTGGGATTTGAATAAATATTTTTTTCTTCATTTACAATTATCATACTAGCCGATAAGGAACAGTGTTGTATTTTTTTAATAAATGAGAGAACTTAGTAGATGTGGGCAATAATATTTCCAGGCAACCCCTACCCCACACCTCCCAAAAAAAGGGGGGGGATTAGGACTTGTCCAAATCTCGTGAGATTTTGCAATTATACTCTTCAAATCTTGAGGAATTTACCCATCATGTGAGATCTGGAAATCTTATGAGATTTTGTTTTTTAAAAAAATATGGTTAGCAGACATTAGAAGGCTGCATTATTAACCATGGAAGGAGTTTATAGATACAGGTAGTTCTTGACTTACAACCATTTGTTCAGTGGTGGTTCAAAGTTACAACGGAACTGAAAAAAGTGCCTTATGATCATTTTTCACACTTATGACTGCTGCAGAATCTCTATGGCAGTGTTTCTCAACCTTGGCCACTTGAAGATGTCCGGACTTCAACTCCCAGAATTCCCCAGCCAGCATTCGCTGGCTGGGGAATTCTGGGAGNATCAAGCTTGATAGAAGAGAAACTTAAGGTAGCAAAATCCAACCAACTTGACTTACCTCAGGAAAAACAGAAGTAGGCCACGCTTGGTTGTATCTACATGTAAGACATCATATTGCTTATCCAAAAAGGGAATCGTGGGATGTATATGTACATTTGTATGCCTGAACATGGCAATAACAAGCCACTTTATTGCTGCAAAAAAAACCCACTGTATAACTATGTCCATATGGTTATCTAAAATTGAGGTTGACCTGGGGGATTCTTTACTTGTGTAATTCATTTTTAATTTATACAGCACAGTTGTAATCTGATCATTTGTAGAATTTCCTTCCTTTAAAGAGCTATTATATTTTCTCTCTCCCCTCTTTCTCTCTATCTGTGTGTACTTATATGTTTGATATTTACAAAGAGCAGAAAATGAGATATTTGTCCAAAACAGCTTTAATTCAATGAACCTTAACAACAAAGCAGACTAGAGTATGTTCCAAAGGCTTCAAACTAATTATTCACATAAACAGAGCTTATACAGTAGCTAAAAGTCAAATGAACAAATACTTTTATTGAGATGATATTCAACATACTGAATACTGCTGTCTGAAAGTTATGAGCCTCCAGGTAACTGTCCCCCCCCTTCCCCCCAGTTCATATTGGAAACCATTGCAGCCTTGAAGTAACTTATGCCACTATAAGATGCAAGAACTACAGAACAGTTCCTTTTAATCATTTGGAATCAGCTACCTCTTTTTTATGAAATGTATATTTCAGTATTTGTCTTGAAAGATTAGCCAGGTGTTAATTTAACTATGTGAGAAGAATCATTTCAGCCCTTTTTTTAAAGCCGAAGTACAGTTTGCATTTTACCTTAACTCAAGCTAATACTAGTCAATCAGTAAATTCTTTTTTTTTATATAATAAATTTATCAGAGTTTACAAGCTACTAATAAATACTGGCTGATACGTGACTGTTAACAAATAGATTTCAGACAGGTCCTATGCTATAAGCCACATTGTTCTAACCTGTCACAGATAAGAAAAATGCAACGGTAAATATAGCCACACATATTCAATTCCTGTTGGAAGTGTGCTATCAACATTCATTCAAGAGTTATACGCTTGGTAACAAGTTGCTGATAAAGACAGCAGTGCATTTGTATTAACAACAAACATGCATAGAATCAGAAGGATATATGTTTCAGAAATGGCTTTG